CTTATTTACGCCTCTCGTAGTTTTTGTTCATGCTTTCCTTCGCGTATACTCCATCCAAATGGATGATGCAGCGCGTTCCTCGCGCCGTTGCACAAAGGATTCGGTCCGCATGGTCTTGATTCACCTGATTTTGCATCCTCGCAATCACACATTCACCACGTGCGCCGCAAGAAGCTTCCTTGAAGCGTTTGCGGCGTGATGCAGCCACAGTACACACGCAGATTAGAGGGAACAGTTACAGCGACTGTTGCAATATAATGCATCTCGATAAGCATCGATAATGGCCGAGTTTGGATAAGAAAAGCTGTCGCTCTCGTGCTTCTATTGGTTCATTTCCTTTTCCGTATACACAATTTCTGTATCAGGATGTTTTGAAATAAATGATTAAAATTATTACAATAGCGAACGAGTTATTTTAATATTAAGTAATAAACAACGCGAAAGTATTCAGCTTTTTGAATTGCGGCGCATTTTTTGGAATTTGTCGTTTTGTCGATGACGTGCGACGTACATTCGTTGAAAAGACCGCATCATAAAATGCAGTCCTGACATTAAAAACTGGTTTGACGAAATCATCAAATTTCTGGGAAACAATATACCGAGTTGTTTTTGTATAATTTTTTTATACAGTGATATTTTGTGCAAAATGTTTCATTTTCATCAAGAAAGTGACACATATTTTTATTTAAACGTGCGATTAAATAAACTTAAAAAAAAAAACTAAATATTTTCTTGTTTTATACTAGAAATTCTAGTATGTATTTATTCATTTATTTTGTTTTTTTATAAAGTGTTTTATAATGCAGGTAAATAGAACAAGAGAATATGTAAATAATGTGTAAATATTTTTTCCAACGATGCGTTTTTTTTACTGTTTTTTTTTTTTTTTTTTATAACGATCTCAACCAACGTCAAGAATTGCGTTATGGATCGCAAGACTACTTCTAAGTTAGATTGATTGCAAAATTTGCAAGAGTGTTGGAAAGAGTTTCGAGAAGAAAACGCGAGAATATGCCGCGACGAATGAATGCATAATGATGAATCACATCCCCGAAGAAACTAGATCATTAAGCCATGCAACCTTGGATTTCTTGCCAAGTTCAGTGCACTGCCCGACTACGCTGAATATACCTATTCCGGCAGTATTTGCTTCTCTCGCGTCTCTCTTCAAGGTCTACGCGCGTCTCTCTCTTTCTCTCTCTCTCGCCTCTCTTTTGCTTTTCTCTTTCCACGTTCTCTCCCGGTTTCCCTTCCGCAGCGCGTACGTGCGTGCATGCGTGCATGCATACACGCCACACGTGTACATACATACGTAGACGAACTTCTCTCTCTCTCTCTCTGCGCCTCTCCTCTATCTCTCTCTCTTCTTTCCCGCCTCTCTCTTTCTTTCTTTTTGCTTCTACACGTGACCTTTTGCGTTTTTCTACATAACGTCGTTGGCCGTTCCGAGATACGGAGAGCCATCTAGGCCTATCCTAGTTTTTACCTAGACCTGACCAAGTTGCACACGGCCTGTTGCTATATTTCAAGCCATCTAAGGCGTTGACTACCCTCTGCCTTATATGATTATATTCGCCGCGCCGCCGTGCCGCAATAGACACTGTATCGAAGCGCATCACGCGAATCCAGATGCGCTGAGGAGACAGAAAATTGAGAAGACGAAGGAGTAAATTTCCTTGCAAATAAAGTAACATTAGCATGATACGCCTTTCTCTTCTATTATAAATGCTTTACACTTATTGGTTTCGCTTCTTCCTGTGAACGACGCGCACAGGAAGTCTCCAACAGGAAGTACGCGTTAGGCCGGAGGATATAAAACGTATACGTAAGACACGGATATAAGACACGTATAAGGCACGGATAGATACAAAGCATACGGATATAAGATGCGGGAAGAAATCAATTGTCAGTGCTTTAATAACTTGCGAGATTCCAGTTCCACAACAAGAATTCAATCCTTCTTCTTGACATATTTCTTTTCTTATTTTTTTTTTTTTTTTTTTTTTTTTTTTTTCTGGTTTGAAGTATCGACAATTTTCCGTCAAAAATCTTCTCAGCGAGAGTTTAACATTACGGTAAAAAGTTTATTACGTAGGGATGCTAAAGACTATCTTACACATCTTTTCCGCACCTTATTTAGAACCACACGCAGCGTGCTCCGGTATTATAAGGAGCACACAACGAGTAAGGTAACAAGGTAAGGCTTTAATCGTTCCGAAAATTACATCGCGCGGCAAGCGTACGGCACCGTGTATTACGACACCGGACCACGCTGTTATGAAATCTTCAAAATGCCTACCTCTGACGTTTTATGGTAGTATAAACGAATTACGGGCTCGTCGTTAGCATTTTAGTCCTTTATGCAAGTAATATCTTTGCTGCGAGAAAAATATAAACTGGATCGAATAACACATTACAAAAAAAAAAAGGTTTAGCGTATACGCCCAACCGTTTCGAAAACACAATATAAAATTGTGTACATAAAAAAGTATTTTTGAGATCAATTACAATGTAAATTATTATTTTTTGTACTAATAAAATGTAAATTTTATATTCTTCTCTAATTTTGATATTTTTTATCACGACAAACGCGGAGCGTTTGAGCCAAGATAGCTGATACTCTCATTGAAGACCGAACCTTTCGAAAAACGAAAAAAATAAGTCTCCTCTAACGTCGTCCTTATGCTGCACAACATCCGATACCCTTCCGTTGGCCTTTCGTTACTTGCTTCTGCGTGGACAATGTAACACAACACCTGTGATATAAGGGTAAATGAAGCGGTCCGCGCACTGGTGATCAGTGCATCCTGCCGTATGCACATATGCAGTCCGCGCGGATGAACCGCGGGAGATTAATTCTTCCTTGAACTAAACATACATCTTCTGATGTTTCCTTGTCGATAAAATCAAGAAACAAAATCAAAAACAAGTTTGATTGTGTAAAGTCGAATAACAATGATGATTCGGTCTTCTTTTTGAATAGTTTTTTTGTTTCCTCTCTTCAGGTATTCATCAGAGTGAGAAAAGATTTTATCAACATTAACAAGTTTGATCATTAACGAAGACTAATAGTAGTGTAATTTGTTTGAAAAATCTGCTTGCTTTCCATTCACTGTTGCTTTTACAATCACTTTTTCAAAGTTTCACATTAAATTATTATTTCGGAACGCATCTCTCTTTCTTTCTGTCTAATAAAATCTCTTTTTCAAATAATTTTTTGTAAATATAGATTCAAAAGTAGTTTTAAATAAAAATAGTTTTAATAAAAGTAGTTTTAAATAAAAATCAGAAGATATAACAAAACGTACCTACACATAATACAAAGTTCACACACGCAACGTGATGTGCAAAAATATAACGTATACGATAATAAAAATATGCGCCGTTGATATAATACTTCTTTATGTGTGTCAGTTTTCTTCACGTCACGTGTACATTCTCTCTCTGTTTTATAGCGCAACTGAATTGAGAGCGTAATCGCACGTGCATATACCGGAAATAGGTTCTTTTATAATATATCTGCATGACACAAGGCTTAATGCGGAAGCGAAGCTCATGAAATGCAAATGCATCTCTGCTAAGTATCTTCCAAAGAATTCAATATTTATCGATGAAACAAAAACATCGAATTTTTATTACAGGCGTTTAAGTTCATTTTTTACTGGCGGAAATTTTGCAAATTAAAAAAAAATAAAAACATATCACACAATTTTTATTTAAAAAAAAAAATTTTAACTGCGCAAAATGCGACGCGGCGATAAGGAGTGCGAATGATAAATTATTTCTTATTCTGTTTTCGTTTCATCGAGAAATCAACTGAATGCGTATCCGATGCAAGGACGTTCGGTGGTTCTGGGACACGAGATTTCATAGAAAGCATTAGATGTCAATAGTGGTGAAATCAGGAATGTCGGTCGATCTTTCCTCTTCCGCGGTGATAATGCCGCGCTCGAACGCTTCTCTAGTGCTGATGCTGCGCCAACATTACAGCGAATGCGCAGCTGTGGCATATGCATTACGTGAAATCGTGCAATATTCGACGACTGCAAAAATGCATATGCGAGCATGGAGTTCCTGTACACGCCACGAGACTTTCTCCAGCCTCGGCTATCGCTTATACACGTACACACGCGCGTATCGTAAATTTACTTATTCGCTTATGTAGCGCGTACATTTTTCTTCTTAGAGAGAATTTTCTGCTTCTTGTAATGTCTAGCGTTTTTTTTTTTTTTTTACGAAGAACATTTCTTGTAATATCTGTCTATAAAATCGGTGACACATTACTAACACGTTATTCGCTTTTCTTTACGTTTCGTTTTCGTTGTACCTGTAATGTGAATGAAATAAAAATATTTAACGAAAACAAAATAAATGACAAGTTCATAACTTACGGCTGTAGGAATTTTATCTTTTCTCTCTCTCTTTCTTTCTCTCAGTTATTTTCAATAGTAAACTGAATTCCGTTTATACACCATGATTAAAATTTGTAATTGCTTATTTGACAGACGGATACGGATTATAAAATTACGAGGAACTAACGACTGTGTAACTAATTATATCGACAGATAATATCAGAATGTCATATTACTTCAATGTCACACAATTATCTTGATTGGCAGATACATATGTCGGTTTCTCTCTTCTCTGAGAGAAACATGATGTCATTATTCAGACGATAAATGAAAGATCACAAATCCATCGGTATCTCCTCATGGCCGCAAAAACATTTTGCCGAGCATCAATCGCCAACGGTAAATCGTACTTGGAAACTCGCGAAGCACGATGCGCGTTACGTCGCATTGGCATTATAACGAATCTTTTTTTTTTTTTTTTTTTTAATGAAATAAAAGATTATAAATAAAAGATAACGTATGGTGGCTTGATACAATGCAATCGTATTATATCTCTTTTATCTCATTGTGAGTTTGATACAAAGACCCGTGCTTTGAAATAGACATATATTCTCTTCTGATTTTAATTAGTGCCGTTTGTATTTCCAGCTGGACAATGTTTAAACGCTTGTCGAAATCGAGGCGTCACAGCGCCGACGATGTCGCTCTCTCTTTGTCAAACCCCGTGACGACGGTGCCGCTGGACGAGCTGTCGGGGACTTCAACGCCGCGGGAAAACAATCAGGATCTGAACACCTCCGCTCTTTTGAAAATCGCCAGAACGAAGTACACACGGAGGAGTCACGGCGATGCCGTGGCGCAGACATTGCTCGAAACGAAACAAGACAACGAACAAGATGTCATCGAAGCTGATTATCAAATGGTCACGGCCGTACCGGCCTTCATCATCGAGCACGATCCGGGAAAGCAGCGAGGTAAATTATATCGAGATGTAACGAATTATGCTATAATTACTTGTATTATGTAGCGAGTTACTTATATTCGACTATGATTTCTTTCTGAATTCCGCTTTTAAAATAAATACATAAACTTTCTAATATTTAACCCTTGATGGATTTTCGCGACTGTGTTAAAAAGTAGATTGTGTATTGCATGCGCACAAAAGTGCGCAACCGTAAAACTGTTGTAAACTGTTGTTTTCAACAATACGTGGACATCGTCTCTCGTGTAGCGGGTCTAAATACAATATACTTTCAAACTGGACTCCACGCTCTGATGACTTTAATGTCCCCTGCTCGACAGCAGCAGAGCGGCGATACAAAAACCATCGCCGCCGGTGTTGGCGAGACATTGCTGATCCTGCTTGTGTTTCGAATAACCGAGAACTACCGCTAATCCAGGAAAACATCGCATCCTTTCACTAATCACTCGCTTGGCGCACTTGCCTCGTTAGAGCTTCGCCAGTCCGACATACTTGCGAACACACCGACTTGCGTTCCCCGCCGCTTTTGCCGCGGTATATACCACGTCGGAGATACGGCATGAGTAAAAATTTTTTTTTTCCTTGTATAGAGTTTAATAGAAAGTTTTATTTGTGTAAAACTTAACTTTCGAATCAAATTGCATGACTCGGCTAAGTTACACACTTCTCAAACTGAATAATTACATACGGACTGAGTTAATTATATACATACGAACGCGTAAATACAACATATAAACTTGTTAACATCACTTTTTTCCGCAAAAACGCAACGAGCAACAAGCGGTTCGGCAAACCCAGTGTAAACTAAAAGAAAAATATTTCGTGTATCTTCGACATTTGATTACGGGAACAAAGTGATCGACACCCAATCTACAAATAAGGTAGCTACTACACGACACGATATATATATATCGCCTTTTGCCCGCGCATTGTGTGTACCGTACGTACACGTTTGATCGCAAAACACGTGTGCTCGATACCCGAGCGGCCTTTTAATCGTTTCTCGTTATGTAGAACCGATGTGTCGGTGGCGCAGGTCCGTTAACCGGGGTGACATCTCGAAAAAGTAGTCCCAAACTACGCGGAACCGCTGCTCCGAGCACGTATATGGTCGGCGGCGAACAGTCGCAATTCTCGAGAACGACCATATGTCGAACGCGGGTGTGGGTATATCGTGGTTTTTCGGTTTACGTATGTGATGGCATGTCACATTTCAATGTCTTACTCCCCTTCTACTAGCCTTCGTCCATCTTCGTCGCGAGAGAGAGAATACCGGATTCCGTTTATATTCTGACATATACATTGTGTGTCAGATAATTATTTATTTAATTAGTAACTTTTTTTATTCTTGCTAATTGATATGTACATGAGCTGTCTTTAGCTTTTAAAGTAGTTTTTTAGACGAAATTTCTCCAAATAGCTATTTAATTAACGAAAGTTTAAAAATAAATCATTATTATAATAATCACGTGTGACATATTATTATTGCGTTCTGTAGTGTCAAGTCTCGGAATTTGGAGTCGCAGAATGGGCAAGAAGATCGACTCGTTTCGACGTACTAGATCTCGCGAGACTATTTATTCCGCCGCGGAGAGATCCGACGACGCCAATTACAACGGCATCAGCAATAACAATAACAATAATCTCAACAACAACGATAATAGTGCCAGCAACAACAATAACATCAACGTCCATCAATTGAACAAGATGCACGTAGACGAGAAGACGAACAGAAAATTACCGCCAGCTTGTCATCGTTCTCCGTCTCCCTTCAAATCGTTTTTCATTCGGATGGGTTCAACCGGTATGCTTAACTCCGCCAGGAACAACAGGCGATCACAAAATATCGAAGAAAGACCGTCGATCCCGGATAAAGAGAGCTTGTTCCGAAGCTGTAGCACCAGCCAACTGAACAGCAGTCCGACCTACGTGAAGGGTGACGATCCTTCGGAGGGTATTGATTTGCAGATAGCCGCGCGCAAGGACAAGACAATGTCCTGCGACGATCTGGCGGGACACCGAGACAACGAACAAAGAGCCTTCGAATCTCACGCACGTGACTCTTCCGCTTCCACATATTCACTGGGCAGCCCGTCGGTGAGCTTCAGTACTTGCGACCTCGGTCAAACGAAAGATGAGTCATTTATGAAGAAGAGCAACAGCTGCGACTTGAAAGAGGCCAAGAAGTCCAGTTTCCCGTACGCCTTCTTGCGATCCAAATTATCCGTGTTGCCGGAAGAACGTCACGGATCATTGATTTCTAAAGACGAGAGACTGTTCAAAACGGTCTCGGAGGAGCATTTCCCGACTCTGCAGATCGAGGATTCGTACATGAGCACCACAACTCTCGGACGGAAGAAATTGAGACTCGGAAACGTTGGTTACAATGACGCTTCGAGAAATCAAGAAAACGCCTCGCGAATAAATCGGGCTTCTTACGCAGAATTTCGCAGGAATTCTAGCAAATACGAAGCCGACAGGTACAGCCTGAACGCCAGCCGTCTCGAGCGAATCGAAGCTGGTCTTCAGCAGGAAGACACCGCGGGCTGCTACAGTCTGTTCGACAGCAGTTTGTTGTCTCTTCGAGAGAACAACGATTTTCAGCACGGCGAGGACGCTGCGCGTAACAAGCTGGACTTCGCTGGTAGAATCGAGTCCGGTATTACGGAAAATTGTAACGTGGATTTCGACGTGATGGCTATCAGAAATGACAGACGAAATTCTGTGTCGAGCTGCGAGCAACGACTGTCGTCCCACTATGTGAGCTCGAACGAATCCGGTTACGACAGTGATGGACCACGCGGTGAATCCGTGGCGGCGTTGGAAAATGAAGGATTGAGTATAAAATGCAGTTCAGATACGAGCAGCGTGGTGGACTCGGAAGCGGAAAAACCTATCAGGAGCTCGACGCCCAGTGAGTGTCAAGATCAAGACAGCAGTCAGGACGCTAGAAAAATCAGGCGGAATTCTAATATCGATGAGAACAGATCGGATGCAAATACAATGTCACAATTGAACATCGAGAGGATCGACGGTATCAGGTGGCACCGCAGCGGATCTGGGAGGATGCTACCCAGCATTCACGGAACGTTCTTCGACGAGGACGCTATATCCCGGCTGGAAGACACTCAGCTTCCAAATTGCGAGGACAGATTGAGTCTTCTATCAAACACGATAAAGACGTTGGACGTCTCGCCTCATCGCAAAAGACTGCAACAGGATAAAACCAGGTTTTTGAGTGACATAATTCAGCCATTAACGAGGGTTCGTCGATGTTGTTTAATAGAATTACACAAAAGAAATCCCAAGGATAGTCTCGGGATTCGACTGGCGCAACAGAGATTAGGATATCTACGGTATATTGTTGTGCAACTCGAAAGCGATGGCATTGCTCATAGGTGCGTAGACATAAATTACAAACAATTAAAAACAACTTGCGTTTTAATGTATTTAGATAATATTTTATAGATAATATTGTATAGAATTTAAAATACAGAAAAAAATTAAAATAACATTTAGATAATCTTTGTTGTACAGAATACACTTGTATATAGAATATTTTATTTTGTAAATTTTATTTTAATTGTTAAATTTTTTCTTCACAAAAAATAATCAAACTGAGATCAAACTGAATTGAGAGAGAGAGAGAGAGAGAGAGAGAGAGAGTGAGAAAAATGAGAGAAAAATCCTTTATCGTATTTTTCTCTGATGAATGGTTCAAGAGTTATTTCGTGAGTTAAAGATTAAAAATAATTGACAAATTATATATTTTAATTATTTTTGATTCAGGGATGGCAGATTGAGATTGGGAGATGAAATCGTCGAAGTAGAGGGAAAGGAATTGAAAACGTTAGAAAGTCTCGAAGAAGTTCAAGAGTTTTTGAGATCCTTTACCGGTAACACGGTGAGATTAACGACGGCTTACGAGGAAACGATGCCGCAAGTATACGAGGATTCGCCAGCGACGTTGCCCGGCGAACACGAGTATCTGGAAAATGCGAAAAGTCTCTCCAGTATGTCGTTGACTGACACCGAGGCAAATCACGCTTCTTCCTCGGTCGAGAAGAAGAAGACGAATGACAGCGGCGCGAACTCGCTTTATCCGAGAAAGAGACCGGACTTTCTGCCGCTCTCGTGCCTGTCTGAAAATCAAAAAAACATCAACAGCAATCTGGAACCCACGACGGAATCGCAACATTACGTAACGAAACACATAGCTAGATTCGAGAAAGGTTACGGCAAACCTAGTCTGGGCTTCAGCGTTGTAGGTGGCAGGGATAGTCCCAGAGGTGATATGGGAATTTTCGTTAGAAGAATATTCCCCGGCGGGCAAGCCGATATTTCTAGATCGTTACTACAAGGTAAATCATCTCATTTTTGAAAACCGTTCACTGTATAGTAGTAAATCACATTAAACGTTCTTTTTAGTTTTTAATTTGGGTTTGGATCGCTCTTTTGTGTAATATGGTGTGAGTATTAGCGCGCGAGTTTGCTTCGCAACTAAAAGAATGCCGAGTCTGTGTCGTTTTGATATTATCTCAGCATGTACCGGCGTAATGTTAATTCTTTTTTATCGATGCATCACACGTCGACACGCCTCACAAATATTTTTCGCTCGAAACCTATCAATTGGACGATAAGGGAATGCGCATGACGACGCGTCGAACGTACGTTCACAACCGAGACGGCCTCACGTATTCACAGCGATCTTGCCAGACAGCTGTCGAATCTTTAATCCGACAGCCAACGCCGCATGCATATCTAAACAGTCATGGCGTGTTCTACCGTTTTTCTCCGGATTCTTTTTTTTTTTTCTCTTCCTCTTGTTTCTTTCTCTCTTCTTTTCATCGGAAGACACAACGAGATATCACCACGCCACTGTGCCATCGATGTTAACACGTCGTCTTCCGATATCTTAACGCGCGTGTATAAAGTTTAGAAATTTCTTCGACACATCGATCAAATAAAAAAATGACAAGAAAAATATGGTTATCTATAACTTTTCTGTTCGGTTCTCTTATTCATATTTATTATTAATTACATTAGTCAAAAAGAACGTGTGTTATCATTGTGACAAAATCCCAAGCGATCGCTATTCGCGTCGTAGTTGACACACGGATAACCAGGAAGATCGTTAGATGCACTTCGCATTCTCGTGTCTCGAATTTCAACCGAGCCCGCCGCTTTTTACGTTCTTTCGCGGTTTTCTCGTCGCTCGCCTTTCCTTGCCGCATGCTTGAGTAACGGGTTGGAAGTTGATCGGCTTGCATAAGCGCAGGAGCGCAAACGTCCCGCAAGAACATCTTCGTTACGAGGTCATTGGCAGAAACTTTCCGGATCACCGCTTGGTCTTATTTAGATCAGTATTATCAGATCGAAAGATAAAAAAAAAAAGAAAGTTTACCGCATTGTTTATGATAATTGCTGCAGGAATGATTTTTGATAATTTCAAATGAGAGAGTATTGCGCATTAAATTATTTTTTCTCTCAAACACATACTTGCGTGTATATACATCATATGTGAATTTTGCTTGATTATAATATAAAATAAATATTATTTTGCATCTTTAGGCGATGAAATCGTGAGTTTGAACGGCAAAATTTTGAAGGGACGCACGCATCAGGAAGTCATTGAATTGTTTAAGACGGTGAGAGAGGGTGTTGTTGAGCTAGAAATTACAAGAAGGCACAGGTAAGACAATAATACAAAACCATATTTTGTTTTTTTTTATAAAGCGCACGTATCATGAATGTGTAACACGTGACAAATTATGATTTTTTTTTTTTAAGTGATAATAATTTTGTGTTTGCAGGTATTCTAAAAATACTTTGAAAAGCGCGCCGTACTGAAAAATAAGAATATTGAGAAACATAAGAGAAACCGCCCACCGGAAGTGCTCCTTAGATTTTAGGTCTAATCAACTATTATTCACACATACAGCAAACGGCATTTTAGGATTCTAGTCTATCAAAAGAAATCTATGTGACTTTCGACATTTCTCTCTTTCATAATTTATTCCGCGCGATTGTTGCAACTGCCTGCTAGATTAATAACGTTTTTATATTAGTATTCAATTAATTAGTATTCAACACACAGATATATATATCGTGTTATGTTGTTATAATTATCATTACCACGTTTTAAAAAATAAGATATAAAATAAGATTTTATACAATTAACGTTAAAAAAAAATATAGAATCCATTATACGCATTAAAAAAATTATAGAGGACAATAAAGGATATACTGCAAAAGTACTGAAGAGATATATATATATATAGCATATTGTATTCTCTCTCTTATGTTAGATTATTATAATTATAATTAAATGTTATTAAATAACTTTTTATTATTATTATAATTAAATGTTATTAAATAACTTTTTATTCTTAGCAAATTCTAAAAATGTACATGACTATATACATGAGATTTGTATTTTACACAATTTTTCTTCTTTCAACAATGACAATTTACATTTCTTCTTCCTTCAACAATGACAATTTACTTCACGTGTCTATCATCAAAAGATCTGCACACGACTTAGCTTTTGGTATCCTGAAAATAAAATTGTTTGTAAGATTGTTTCTCAAAAGAGTTGTTATTGTTCAATTAAAGAGCAACTAGAAAAAAAAAATACTTACTGCAATTCACGATTTTTCACACGTCTACAAAGATGCAAGGCAACCGGCCCGATTTTAATATTGCGAAAAAGCTGTACGGCTTCACGATGTGTCAAGTCGTGGCAGACCTGGCCATTCACAGCCAAAATTTCGTCTCCTGCGCGCAAACGGCCATCTTCAGCGGCCTGTCCACCAGGCAGTACCGACTTTATGAAGATACCTTTGTGTTACGAGTTAAACGAGATTAGACGCGTAAAACTTACAAAATATAAAAATGTGTAAGATCAAAACTCGGTTTGAACGTTTCGTGTATCGTATAAGATAAATTATATTTAAAATTACCGATGCTTCCTTTGGGACTGTCTCTTCCTCCAACTATAGTGAATCCCAAGGACTTTTTTCCAGCTCCCTTCTCAAAGAGCACCGTGAGGAACGTGGACACGGTACTTCTCGGCCTTCTTGGAAGAGTGCAGAATTTTGAGACGTTTTGCGTGAATCCACTGTCCATGTTTGTCGCAAATTTCTCGGACTTGCTGGATTCATCTTTCTTGTCTCGATGACACTTAGTGTGATGCTTTCTGAAGTGCGACTTGGGTGAACTGGAGTCGACGATTACTCCGTGACCGTCCTCCATACTGACATTCTCGTAATCCACGCTGCTTTCCGTTAACTTCTTTGTTTGCTGATCGACATACCTCAGGACGACGATATCGATGTCACCGGGGCCGCTGCCGTTTCCTAAGATCTTTCTCGCCTCCGTCATACTCAAACCGCGTAATCTTCTCCCGTTGACGATCAGAATCTCGTCACCTATTCGCAGGGTACCTTCCTTATCGGCCAATCCGTTAGGCACCACGTGAGCAACCAGATAACCCGGACTGGATTCCGCGGTTTTCGCGATGAAAATTCCCAGACACTGATCCGCCGTCTCTTTGGCGAGTTTCACGACTATCGTTTCCGTAGTGTAAGCTCTACTTTTCACCGCCTGTAAACCGGAATCGCGTTGCTTCGGCTTGGATTCTTCATCTACGATTTCTCTCTCTTTTTCTTGATTCACGTTACTTTCTTTGGGAACTCGACGATCTATCAACGTATCGTTTGCGGCTTGGCAGAGACTTGAGAACTCCTCGATAATACTTGTCTCAGAAATGTCCTTGGTCCTGTCGTATATATCCAAACTGACGAACAATCGTGAGGTCCTGTCGATGTCGACGGCGGATGAAAACGGTCTTCTGGGTGGCAGTTGAGGAGGCGAACCCAGACAAGACTCGTTGTGGCTGTTATTCAACGCTCCGGAAGCACCGCTGCTGCATCTGTCGTCCAGAAGAGAGCTGGTGGCGGAGTCGTTGTCCAGGATGCCGGAATCGTTGTCATCCTGATCCTGATCTTCGTAAAGCGGATTCGTTCGCAGTTCCTCGAGACCGGGCAGCGTACCGTACGAAAAACTACGTAATCTTCGTCTTTCTCTGTCCTTGCAATCCTTCCTGTAGATCTTTGCGATCAGCCTGTTCGTCGAACTCTTCAAGTATCTGTCTTGCATCGCGCGAAATTTCGCAGCTAGACAACTAGACGGTGTGATGCTGTCAAATGCTGTCGAGTCTTTGCTGAAGGTTGTTTCGTGTTTGGGCGTTTCTGTGTCGACCGCTACTTGATCTACAGATCGATTCGCGCGACGATTCGCCTCGAAGAAGTCCTGACCGGGTTTCTTCCACTGGTAATCGTTGTGCGCTGTGTCTTCTTGAATCGAGTCCTCTTCTTTTGGCTGTTTCCGACATGTCGAAGTGCGGAAACCTAAAAAGGAAAACCGCTCTTCTTGCTGTTTTTTGTATGGTAATCTAGTTTGAGACTTGGCGCGTCTTTTTCTTTTCACGTGATGGCTTTCTCTCTCTTCTATGATGTCCTTTAGATCCGACTCGCACACCGATCGCCGAAATTCATTTCTGATCAGTTCGTGATGTCTTAACTCGCACATCGAACGGAACTGGGCCTGTCCCGCTTCCTCATCGTCGTTATCGTTTTCATCTTCATCGGAATCATGATCCTTGAAAAAGCTCAACCTGGTACTCTTCACACGATCCAGAAGAGGATTTCGCTTCTCGCACACTCTTCGCCGTTCTTCTTGAATTCGCTTCTTGTTTTTCTTGTTGGACGTTTTTTCGGTCGTTACTTGGGAAGTCTGCACGTTGTAACAGTTTATCTCGGATTCGGAACTCGAGGACTTCTTTCGAGCCCATCGCACCGGCGACATGTCTAAAAAATAAAATAACACGATTTTAACACACACGTAACATTGTATTATAATATTTGTTGTTATACCATATACTCTATTTACTATATCGCTGTTTATTATTAGTTTTTAATAACATTTCACTATATAATTTTACAATGTTTATATATTTGTTTTATGTGCCTGTTCTGTTTCAAAATCAATTTAAAATTACACCGTACAAGATTTAAGAAAATGTCGCAGCGTGACTATTTTCATTTTTGGTGATCTGTTCAGCAAGGTTGATCCGTCGTTACAAGCAAGAATCTAACTGTGCTACTTCTAAATCGAAAGTGAGTGTTTTTCAGTGCCATATGCGATGATGCCGACAGAACTGACGAATCTCTGCGGCTTCCGTGAAGCATGACATCATATCAATCCTAATGACGCTTTACACAGGATATGTGTAAAACAGGATATGCGTGAATAATGTGTGTACTAACTTATCGCACTTAATTATGATATAAAGTAATTGAATTTATCTTTGTAGGTACTTGCAATGTAAACTAATTTTTGAACAAATTGCATAATCGAAAACAGCGAACGAGTGAATATTGAACGTGTGTTATCGGCATGAAACGTGTAAACCGGATACTTTGAACAATTCTTGAGTAACGCTTCAACGTTATAAATCATATCTGGCGTCGAAAAAACCGCAAATATATTTTTTACTATTCATAAGAATTCGCGGAAGAGAATTATTTCCTCGTTGTGAAATGTCAATGCGCTGTGGTCAGAGCATAATCGCGTAGATAAACAAAAGTTTACCTGTGTCTAACTGAAAATTTTTTAAAATGTTTTTTTTTATCAGAATAGAATAATTTAAATATTTTCTTGCGTGATTTATTATTACAAATTTAATATGTATACATGTAAATTTTTATTGTATATAAATACAATAAATAAAGAGCGAAATTCATATAAGTAGGTTCGTTTTCTTTCGATCAATTAGCAGTTACAATAATTAGCACGTCGTTTCATTATGAATTGTCACGTTATCGCCGTCAAACTGCATTACAGTATGTAAGAGTCTTATACAGCCTTACAGAATGCTTGTCGTAGGTTATGCATAAGCTATGAATTGCGTCCTCGACAATGATCCTTTATATTACCGCGCATTCGCGTAGGTCGGCGTGTCAATTTGCCTCTATTCTAACTTTTCAGCCAGTCACTCAGGACTCAGCTTGACGGAACGTTGAGTCGTAATCCTTGCATTCAGAATGAAATGCCGATTTAAATTCTGCTACGTATGTTAAAAACACAATGCGCGACATTACGAGATGACATTATTTTTGCAAAAATCAAAAGGCCAATTCTCGACAAACAAGAGCGCAAACAAGAAACACTACACAATAATGTCGTCTCTAAGCATCGTAATTTTTTTTCTGAAAAAAAAATAGATATTCAATTCTAGATTGAACGCTGGGTGATTTACCTCTGCATCGGGACCTCGTACGAAAATGGTAAGATGCTTCATTGACGTCTTCATCGGCTCGAAGTGGACTTAAGCGCAAAAGTCTCGGTGCCTCGGCGTGGTTGCGAAACCAACGCATGTCTGTAAGAAATTAGAAAGTAGTCGATGCATGAGTTTTGTACACACGAAAGCCTTATCACACGCAAATTACTTCAGAACGAGAAGAAGTTAACAATCTCATGTTCTCTAATTGATTTCAATTTATTCGCTCTGTTTAGTTCATTGAATGAAACACTGATAACAGTTTTGCTTCTCGTTCGAAAAACAACAGACACGTTATTTCGCTATGACATATGTATGATACATGACATTTAATATCGACGCCGTGTATTTATTCAAACCAAGTGGTACGGACAAGCCAGCATCATCGTCACTCATCGCAACGGTACTTCCATCACAAGGAGGACGCATCATCTACGCGCTGTCTCCGGGTTTTAGCATTACATGACACTGATATCACGCGCATTTCTTAGCTTAAACATTTTTACAATCATCGATTTTCTGTCCTCTCTCAATAAAAGAGAAGATATTTGTACTCGGCATTACAAAACCGAAAAAACTACAAACGAGACATAATAATATAACCAGCAACGACTCTCGTAACAAAATTAACGTGAACAAAATTAATTTGCGAATTGTTTGCGATTACTTAAGTAAAGTGATGTAACTTAACGTTATAGTTTGAAAAAAAAAAATTTCTCATATATTCGAACAAAAAACTTTGTTCTACGACTTTTCCACATGATATAGACATGTTACGTTAAATATATCTCATTATGTTTAACAATTAAATAAATTGCAACGCACATTACACAAGACGCTAATGTACGAATGATAATAATTATATGTGTAAGTGGCGTAACCGAGTGACTACGAGAATAGTGACGAGAAAGAAGAAGAAGAAAAATTAGAGAGAGGGGAGAAGACACGCACTTTCTCCGATGCAAAATATGTGTGCCGTCACCTTCTTAACTCTTCTCCGAAGGCTACGCCTCACGATTTTCACTTTTCGTAGATTCTGTGTGCGCGCGCGCGCACACACACATACAATATACAGTCAGACTTTAATTAAGTTTGCAATCAAAAGCAAGACGAGATAAGATTACACATCTCTAGGCCTTGAGCAACTGATGAATTTAAACATTTGTACACACACGCCGAGAGCAAGACGTTTATAAATTTTTTAAAACATTCAAGCAGTTTCTACTTGTTCGCTGTGTCAAATGTAAATGTACTTGTAATTGTATGCGGCAAATCCGCTTAGCTTTTGATCGTAGTGTCTCTACTTATTGCGCTATGCACGCTGTGAGCTTTACGATAAACGCTGCAGAAATTCCGCGGTTGTTAAAGGCTCGAAGAATGTGGGAGCTAAACGTCCAGTTATCCGAAGCATAGATTTATCGTTCCACTTTCGTGGCTGCCGATCTGTTCCTGACTACGGAGCTGCTGCTGGCGGAGCTCGACTTTGCCACGTCGGTTAGTTTGGCCTCCGTTGTACAGAGGCTTCAGATTGTAAATCTTCGAGATGCGGCGAGACGCGGGGCTGTTATTGTCGCCACGATATACTCGCGTGACATGCGCAGGAAACTAATTTATCCCGAGTACATAGTGAGACAAGAAAAAGAGGATTCATAAAATTCTTCGCTCCTAGCGTCAATAAACGCGATAAAGTTTTCATATTTTTGTTTTGTTTTGTTTGTATAACCAGCACGATTTGAGAAACGGTGTCGCTTGTGTTATATAATAATAACTGAATATTATATGTCTCGCAATTGAAATGTATCTTTTGTATTGAAAAATTGTGCAAACGCAAATATATTTGAGTTCGCGTTCCATTTGCGGTTGTGCACTCGATAAACGTTCCCTTTCTAATTACAAGCAATTCACTTGCAAAATACTGTCGGACATGTCTCGCAACAAACAGTAAAAACAAAATACCTACGGCGTTTCACCTTAAAAGTTGTACCTTTGTGGTAATTGCGCAATTAAGCGCACGAAGAACGGTAACACACTCACGCAAAATTATGTTCAAGCGGCAGGTGTCGATCAGCTACTGTTTTACGAGAGAAACATTGGTCGTGCTAAATATTCGAGTTACGTAGTAATACAAGTGAGAAGAAGACAGTGAGTCAATGTATGTTAAAAAAACAAAGTCATAAAGCGCGCAATAAAATATTTAAAAAAAAAGAAATTCAATAAAGTTCTAGATTTATCCGATAAACGTTTGCCATTCGGATGAGAAGTGACATTTGTACGTTACGCCTGAAAATTGCGATTTGAGGCAAAGTGTGATGCGTACGTAAAACGCGACGTGCCCCGGATGCTCGTAAAATATTCTCCGCCTCGTGGCTACCGAGTCGTAACTTCGCTCCGCTTCCTAGGTATTGTTATCGTGTACCAGAAGGATTCTGGAATCTACGTCCATTCTACTATCCGATGCAAGTTATTCGCGATGCAAAATCTTTGGAATATGATTGAATAGACCGACGAGTATATGATTACAACGTTATAAGTGGTCTCACTTCCGAGTCAGACATTTTCTCAGGTGCTGCGTAGATAGTTTGTGCATTCTGAAGCTGCTGGGGCAAAGTTTCTGTCTCTTCTGAGAATAATGGATCGTTGTAATTTTTTTTTTTTTTTTTTTTTTTTAAGACAATACTGTGTGTCGCTTTTGTGTCATTTGTTTATACGAATGTTTCCAAAAAACAATACACATTTCGTCGTACAAAAAACAAAAAGTTTCTGATAAAAGATAATATTAATATGTTTATAAAAACTTCATGTATAGCTTTGCAAATTTAGCGATATAGAACAATATGTAAAGAATAAACGCAAGCTCTTTCTTTCTCTCTCTCTCTTTCTCTATCTGAGCTGATAAGTATTAAGGAACGTGTGTACGAGAGCCTATACCCCTGTAATTTAAAGAATTAGGTAGCGATAAAAAATGTTCGGGACCGGTTCAGCATAACGTTACCTTGATGGCTCAGTTTAGCCGACAACATCGTGAAGAGAGAAAGAGAGAGAGAAAGAGAGAGGAATTTTACGTTCAGACTTCTTTAATGATGTTCTACAGCGAGATAAAAATTAACCGGTACGTTTTATTATTAGGAATACATATTCATCCTGACGTATAAAAGATATATTCGAATATGTTTAATGCGTCAATGTGTCTGTGCGTGCAACTATAAAACAATCATGCAATCTTTCATGCAGTTTTTCGGTGATAAATTTTTAACACTTGATTTTACACAACGTAGAATAAAACACTCAAACAATCGAGCTATATATGTGTATAATCAAATTAAAAATTGAAATATATATTTTATCATTATAAAAAACAGATATAAACAAATAGATATACGTATAAAATATCGAGTTATTTTATCCCACAGTAAAATACACGTTTGAGTCCAATTTTCTGTCTGCGATTCGGGCCACTTGTATAATGATCGACATAATTAATCTCAGGAGAGAACTTTTGAATGGTAACTCTCTCGCTGTGTTAAGCGGCTCTGGAGAGAACCTTGTGTCCACTAGGAGCGTTCTATCAAGGCCGCGGGGCGAGGTAGTCCTTTTATTTTCTGGCCATTTGACGAGAGCGACATGCCGAGCATTCCTCGCTGGAATAGCCGTGTAACTATGCCCTCGGCATTGCGCTCGCCTGTGCGCCCGAGCGCGCTATCGTGTGCACGCTGGTGTGCCGGCCAACGGCGTGTATTCGCACATCGTGCGCGCACTCGAAGGTTTGTACTACACGCTTTACGCGGTGGTGTAAGTACGCACGTATGACTAGATATATTCCTACACGTGCATATATAAATAAGACACGCGACACACGCGCGGCGCAAAGGACAGAGCTCCAAGGCCGATTACTGGCCAACCCTTCCTTCGCCATTACTCGGAGAACTCGCCGGGACGAAAAGAGAAAGAAAGAGACAATATGCGCGCGCTGGAGAAATCGACGATGTGTACGTCTTTTCCCAGACGCTTTTGGAATAATAATTAAGTCTATTTAAGACGCACACACATTTCTGATTTGTGTATTTACCGTGTTTTCTGCAATGTCAGTTTGTCCAGTTTGTTTTCACATCTGCGATCACTCTGTGTGATCGTGAATTATAGTATTTATGCGGGGAAGTAGTTATCCTTCTTTTGGTTTACTTCACGTGAGTGATTATTATACAATCAAGAAATTTGTGAGAACTCTCTCTTTTTCTTTGTGTGCGCGTGCTTTTATAAATATACTATATATTACTTTTATTATTTATGTCATTTTAATATCATCAACAACAAACAATCGAAAATTCTTCAAAGATATATTTTTTTCCATTCACCAGAAAGTTTTTTGCGCACATGAGTCTTTATCAAAGAACCTGTATAATCTATATCATTTTTGCATCATCTTGAATACATCCTGAACGCAGCTTTTGTCGCGGGTCAGGACCGGAAGTGGGATACGTGCGTGAACAATTAGCCGACGGGCCGCAATTAATCACGGCCGCTCGTTGAATCCGACCTAACTGCCACGGTGCACATACAATCCGACTCCGGCAGTTTTGCTCCGGCGACTCCCTTCAGCCGCGCGCTCGACTTTCCGGTTTAACCGCTCCTTCTTCTAATCGCTTCTCTTCCTGTCGCTCGATCCTTTCGTCCTTGGTCTACCCTGAACACCTGGAGAATAGCCACCAGCAAGATGTATCTCGAATCATTTTATTTCGTGACGAATCTATTTCGTCGATAAGAATTGAACTCTGATTAAAATTAACTTCGACGTGGAAAGATGAAAGGAGATCGACCGAGAGAGCTTTTGTCTCTGATTGTCGGATGAATATCCAATACAGTAGAATATTATAAAATAAAAAGTAAAATATAATTTTTCTGTTTCGCTTTTTCTCTAAATTTAAAAAATACAAATTCAGCACAACAATATGGTGTCTTGCTTTCTCGTCGAAGCTAACTTCGGCTAGAATCATCAATGATGCGAAGCGACTCGGTCTCATCCGTGTTCGACTACAAATTGCGGACGCGTGTTGTTGACAACACAGAATATCCAATGAGTATCTTCCGATGCCGCGACGCGTCGCTGACACTGAATTTAACCGGGGCGAATGTCCGCTATAGACGATGGGGAATGACCATGCACGCAGGTACGCGCTGATAGAGATTTAGGTCGCACGCGAGCAGGGACGAGGTCCATGAAAGCTCCGCTTGTTACCGGGTTAAGCCCCACTCTGACTTGTGCACATGCCATGCTATCTATGCGATGCTATGCAGTTTAGACTGTTTGGTCGTGTCCTGTGACGGTGCATGTTCCGTGAAAGCGCGCACAAACCACTACGTTTGGCTCGAAGCGGATATTTGAAGCGTCAAAAGACACTCGCGCGAAAATCCGCTTATTATTGCGGAATGCGGCCGATGACAAAACAAACTGATTACTGAATTTGAAGTTCCCAGTGGATCATCGGAATATATATATATATATACGAATATATACATATTCGTGTTTCTCGAGCTTCTCGATTACGCAACTGTGCACATCACATAAAATTCACGCGTGATAGGACACGCGTTGAGACACGGGCGTTCGTCGGTGATGACGGCTTTCTCGGCCATCTGTTCGAGACTCGACTCTTGATCTCGCGCCGGATCACTATCGGAGTGTAAGAGGAATGTCGTGTGCGTACCGTAACGCAAACCCTGTGCGAGTCGCGGTGAAGCACAGGGATATGTGGAGACCAAAGAGCGTTCTACCGTGACGCACTTTAGATCGAGATCGGATCGTATGATACGGTCCGGTTCGGTGCTCAGTTAAATGGCATTTTTACTCGACGATTTATTCCTATCTCGGCTTTGTCTCGTCACGTTTCTCGCGAACGTGACATTTTAGTAAACTTAACTTTTCAAGAGCGTTTCAGCAGTGTGGTCCCGCGATGTCTCAATGTGAAAGATTCACACTTCGCGTTTTGTATTTTACCGATTTTTTTTCTGATCGGCGACCTTAGCGAGTTATTACGTTGAAATAAAATTTCTTTTGCAAAGAACACTCGATCGTTCTTTTCCTGTTGGATATAGAAAATTATCTAACTATGCATCTACCAAAAAATCATGTATATATATATACGTTTGTTACGGCTGCTTACGCGCGTTTAAGAAAAAAAAAGAAAAGATAATATCGTTCAAGTAGCACATCGAGTGAAAGTTTCGAACGTAACTCTACCAATACCTGTTTTACATTCCAGATAATTAATGTCGGTCCGCATGTGTAACATTTTGCGTTCTAAAGAAGGAGAGATACTTTTACATTGTCTTGTTTAGTGTTTTATCCTGCATAAGATCTATGTAATATCTACACACGCGCGAAAGAAAGAACACGCGCTTTGAAATTGTATGCTACACAGAAAAACCACAAGGTCTCTGTTAAATTTATTTTGCGTAATACGCACGAATATTACGCAGATTTACTCACGCAAATGGCGCGTAATTAATTTACGCGCCATTACTTGGTAGTGTCATATCGAATGCTTTAACACAGATGTGTTTTGGCTTTCAACGCGTAATTTTATTCGAGAGATAAATTGTCAAGCACTAACACATTAGTTGAAAAAGTTTAGATTCCTCTTTATTATCGTTAGAATACTTTCTGCGTTCAAGAAAGTGTTCGGTCATCCGTATTAAAATCCTATTAAATTACATCTCTTTCAATGAACATCGCATTATACTTTCGCTCGAAAACTTTTCCTCGTTTTATGGAGCGTTTCAATTTAAAACTCAACTGCACAAACAGCGTGTAGCCGCGCACTTAAACTTTGCATTGAACAGTAATTACAATTCAGCAAACACATTCTGATTGTATAAAGCTGTGCTATATATGCGTAACTTATAAAAGAAAGGGACTTATCTTAGAAAATCTCTCGGCGAGGCGTAGCATTGTGGAATAAATAAATCGTAGATCACTTTATACGTTCAGCGAAATGATTTGGTAAATTAATCAATGTGCGTTATTATGGAAAATGTAAAACTGAAATAAATAATAGAATTTTGCAAACGTTTTTTAAATCACTAAAAAAAAAATGTGACGAAAGATGTAATCTCACGTGTCAAGACAATGTAACTCGAATGAAATAATAATCGTCTCGATACGTGAGATTATCATCCGTTTGCAATTTTAACAAGTGACTTTTCAAGTTTTCATATCTTTCTCATGTTTACGGATGAATCAATATATTTTATCAGAAATGTCGCGACGATCAGGATCGGATTCAACGTTATAAAATTGTTAAATCTTTTTTTTTTTTTTTTTAAACCTAAAGTCGCTCGCATTTATCTGAAAGGCGCGTGTATTTGTTTCGATGAAAATGAGGATGATAAAAATACCGTTTGCTCGTTAAATACCTATTACTGAATTAGTGCTGCACACAAAATTACATGTAGGTTGAAAACTTTGACTTGCACGGTTAAGAACAGCGTGTTTATCGACGTCGTGGTTTACGAGACGTCGTTAAAAACGTTGTCGAAATCCACTTCCTTGTTACAAGAAAATCTGCGCCAGCGCAAACGTGCACATTCTGCGATATATATATATATATATATATGTATATATATATATGGTCAGAGTAAGATAAAATAAGATACAAAAAAGAACATCAAACAAATAATGTATTTAAAATAAAACAAACATCCGCAAAGTACCCTCAAACAAAAAATTTAGTGTTAATAAATTTGTCACGAGACTTCATTACGGAAACATTTATGTACTAATTAATCGACCTGGATTTAAAGATTAATATTATTTTAATAAAAACCTAACTGCGTTCACATATACTATTATGCAAATACAAGTGGTCACGAGTTTACATTTGTAATTCACATGTATCATTTCGTATCTAAACACGTTTTCCTTGACGAAAATGTCAAAAGAACTAGAATTTTTAAAACGTTGATATTTTAAAAAGAAAAAAAGTATAATTTATTATATTATTAAAAATAAGCAAATTGATTTGTTTTTTTTTTTTTTTTTTTTTTTAATGAGATTCAAGAAGAGAGAGTTTAAAAAGTTTAATGTTTTATAAATACAGATTTTATACTTGTACACAAAAAGAATCTTATAATTTCGCGTTTGAATATTAAGATTAAAGTTACGTAACACTAAAACAAACGCGTAAAAGTGAGTTTAAATTCGTTCTCGGCGATCAACCGAAGAACATCGCTGCATAAGTTTTTCTCATCATTCCCACAGTTCAGCAAAAAACAAATTTATATTGTAAACTGTAAAACATGTCGCAAGAGAAAATACCTTAGCGCAAGTCGTACTCGTCAAGCATCTTCAACAGAACCGTATAATTTAAAATCCGTTAACCAAATCGTATATTCTTAAACCGAACAACTGCACAGGTGCGTTATCCGTTTCACTTAACTACTTGGCCGCCACTTGACGCAGCAGATACCGACAGCACAGAGTAAATGCGTTCTCGAAAAAAATAGTCGAACACACACACACACGCACACATACACACACGCACTTATACATATACTCTGAATTCTTACGGCACGGAACTGCATTCGGATAACCGTGATAATTCGTCGTTTCACATCGTTAAGACCTGAGTTCGGGCCCGCTCGCAGCCACGAGATCTCGGTTAATTATGAATAATATAATTAGACGGGATTTTCTCACATGGTTTATAGTTTCCCTTTTGTGGGACCGACGATGAGGCAGAAAGAGCGAACAGCCGGCGAAACACGACTCACTCCGACGCGGTTGCGACCACGAGCGGTGTGATTGAAATAATAGCTCGTGTGAAATTTAGAATCACGCCGGAGACGAGAACATGTAATCGTGATGTAATTCTCTTAAGTGTGTGTTACTTTATGTACTTATTATTCAATCAGTACTGTTTTGCGTAAAATGTCATTTTGTTTTGTTACTTTTTCTTATCTTTTTCCTTTGCTATTTTCCACAATAAACTAAAGCACATCTCATGTAAAATCAATTTTATTAGTGTTTTCCTTAATACTTTGCCTTTCTATCAAATCCAAATGTGTGTCGAATTTTAAATCGTAAACATCATCACTTACGAACCAACCATATGTGTTATCGTATTCGTGTGAGAATACATTTTTCTAATGAGATGAGTAAACATATGTGTAAATTATAAAATAACTTTATAAAATTGCAAATTGAAAATAATTACAATTTTTTTGTACATAGATTAATGAATTTAGTCTAGATAATATAAACCTTTTGTTTGAACGTAAAGTTCTGTTTCACGAATAGAATTGAAATAAAAACGCGCTGCCGTTTTTTGTTTTCAAATTTAATATCACGAAGTAGAGGGTTTGAAGTTGAATCGAAATTCAGCAGCAATAATGTTTGGAAACTTTCTTTTGAACATGGCAATCATAACAATTCTTCTCCAATTTGTGTGCGCGTATAGGATTACATTTAATGTCGCTTTTAAATCACGCACACAACATTATAAAAAAACCTTTAGAAATATCGCTTGTATTTCATCGCATTAATCTTAAAGACTATAATAAATTACATATATAGCCGCAACAAAACAATTAAACATAAATTCTTGCGCCAAAGAGTAACAATAATTGCATGACATTCTTTCGTCGGTCTCACCTGATAGCCGATCCGACGAAAAGATCTATTCAGTGGAGAATTTGCTGAATCATCTTTATTTCAGTTTCCTCTTCCGACAAACATTTCGTTTCTTTAAAAAAAAACACAATACGATATCTATTGCCGTATGATATTTTTAAATACGAGCACTTATCACGAGAAATTGAGCGCTACGACGATAACAAGTGCCAGATAGATCTCGTCCAACCAAGCGATCACGAAGAACTGAACTCAGAATTGTCTGTTCGTCCGTTCGCCGACGGTTCTCATTGGCGCGCAGAACCGTGACAAGACGAATTGGCGCCCTTGCCTAAAATATATATGTATATTTTACAATTACAATTAGTATTTCTTATGCATATATCAGAGGTCAGGATTGCAATTTATTTTAAAGTTTTTGTTATTTTTTTGTAACTCGCAATAATAACAAATCGTATTTTAATGCGAGAGAGATGCGTCTATTATTAACGAAATACATATTAATATCTACATTTGATATTAAATATCCGGAGAAATATCCTTCGTATGTGAACAAACTCTACATGTAGTTATATACATATAATTTATGTATAATCACATATGAAATTCGGATGGTCTTATATATGAGTGTATTTAATTAGATATCATTAAATACACAAAATTTGTCCACATGTAAACAACTTTTTTTCTGAGTTAGAGAATTGATTATTAAAACATCGAATTTGATTTTAGTTGCACAACTAAATGCTGTATAAAATGCTAAATAAGTGAAAAAACTAATTTGTGCATGTAATACAAATATAAGAACGCTTTTAATATTTTATTTGCAACAACTATAGCAATAGTTGGAGCAGTAACATATTGAATAAAAAGTGCACACACTATCGATCTGATGAAGAATAATCGACTTTTCGAAAGATCGAAAAAATAATCGATCTGTAACGAAAAAAAGAAAAGAAATGAAGTCGATTAATCGATCGAAAATTGACCGTTCCCACTTTGCACAACTCCAGACAACTGACAGCCGGAGCTAATACTTGACTAGACTGGAGCTGACCGCAGCTAACCGGAGTAATCTCCGAGTGGCTGAGTGGTTTTCAGTATATTTTGGTCGCAATCTCGCGACATACAGTGCTGATTTTCGGATACACACGTTTGTGTGCATCGTTTTATCGCGTGCGATCTGTTCGCACGATTGGAGTAATCGAGAAATCAGTGTAAGTTCTCTTTTTGGTTAGGAAACGCCGAAAACGCGATACCGCTACGTGTACTGCACAAGTCATAAATATATATTCGAGCTTTTATTCGCATCACTTTAATTTGTACTGCGCATATTCATATATACGGTTTGGTGTTTCAAGATATATTACGAATATATTATATTCTTCAATGTGTATATTTATATAATTTATTTTATATATTTGTGTTCATGTGTGTTTTACACACAAAATATAATTGTTGTGTAAATATATAGCATTATTTTGGAATAATATTGATAACATGTGCATTCTTCGTCTGGTTGTAATGCTTACATGCTAGCTAAATGTGTGATACTTATTTTCAGATTGAAACATGGTAGTGCTTAGCAATTTTATGCCACCACAGGAAGGCGTTCGCCATGAGGAGCCAAATACTACAGTTTATATCAATGGCAGAGAAGTTGGAAAGGGCACATTCTATATTACAGAAAGGTAACAAATAAATTCCAAATGATTTTACATAAGTATATCGGTACATAAAAAAAAACAGAATTATATCAAAAAATTCTTTTCTAAAGTTGAAGCACCATCAATTAATAACGTAACTTATATGTCATCTAATTATATAATTTTGTGTGTTGTAGTTTACTTTCTTGGGTAGACATCGACACGCAACGAGGATTTTCACTTGAATATCCCCATATTTCACTACATGCAATTTCGCGAGATGAACAAGTTCATCCAAGACAGTGTCTATACATCATGGTGGATGCCAAAGTAGATCTGCCAGGTATATGATTCTTATATATAAACAAAAGATTTAGATTTTAGTACAACAGTAACAGATTTTTTATATACTAAAAATTAAATTTATATTTATCTTTGAGCAGATATGGCGTTACCTTTATCGTCTGAAAACAGTTCAGAAAACGAAGATGATGATGGTGATACTGCTATAACGGAAATGCAATTTGCACCAGACAACACAAATAACTTAGATTTAATGTTTCAAGCGATGAACACGTGCCAAGCACTTCATCCCGATCCACAGGATAGCTTCTCAGATGGTAATGAAATAAAATAACATTAATTTTGTGACTAACAAGATTTAATTAAACATTTCTGTAATTAAAGAGGATATTTATGAGGACGCTGAGGAAGAGTACGAGGGTGAATATGATGAAGAAGTAGGAGCTGGTGACGCTCCTTGTATCCTGCAGACAGGTATTTTATTCTTGTAAATTTAATCCTTGAAAAATTGCGTTACTTACACATTTAAAAATAATTTTATTATATGGTCTTCATTTCATTGCCTATAGCTCATGAGATATCTTAGAAAATTCCAGGTCGAAACAGGTTACGAGATATTTTATTTTTGTATTTTGATATAATCAAATATACTGACATTTCTCAGTGAATTTAGTAATTAATAATAAGTAATTCTCGGTTTGTGTCTATAACAAAACAATCCCAAAACAAATATGTGAATAGCAAGTTATGCGAGCCAAGCATTTTACGCAATGTGTTAATATGTAATATATCAAAAGTAGAATTCGTATAAAGAATTTATTTTTTTCTCACACCAATGACTTTTTCTGATCCTATCGTGTTTTTTACTTTAAATTTTAAATTTATACGCACACACAAGGAGCAATATTTATATTTTTTTAAATTTTGTATAAAGCTTTTGTATTTCTTATTATTAGAACAAATGGGGACCAATCATACAGAACCGGAGGCGGAAGAAGCCATGGACGTTGAAGCGGGTCAATTCGAAGATGCGGAGGAAGATCTGTAAGAGACGACGAATAGACACAGACATGCATTTAGTGTTAATTTATACTATCAATTTCGTATATGTATTTCGGTAGATACGTGACATTGTTATTGCAAAACTTACGGCCGAGCTGTATCAAACGTTAAAGCACTCCTAAACATTTATTTATATTCATTTTGTACATGATGATAATTTCCTAGATAAAAATAAATAATTATACATGAACAGAGTGTTGAATGTTTTATTTATTTTGTCTTTCCAATAGAAATTGTAAAAGTAATATTCAATTACAAATGTAATTTATATATAATTTGTTTTTCAATGAGATTGAGATTGTTTTCTATTTATAATGACTGCTACGTCGCATTTTTTAAAGTCGGCGACATGATGTTTTACGTATACAATAATTTGGTTACATAGTGTGCGACAACTGTTTGCACGTGACGATTTTGTCTTATCCAGAAGTATCACTGTGTGTAATTTTAATGAAAATGATGAATTGCACTAAACAATCTTTACTTGGCAATTAATATACAATATATCATATTTAAAAAAAATTTTATATGAAGCAATATTAATTCATATAGTCTATCACAACATACACATCTTGTTGAAAATATAAAATAATCATGAACTAGAAATTTGTAAGATATTCTAATAATATTCACACACAAATTATCGCTACTATAATAAATGATACAATGTCGGTTGTATTTTTCATAGTATGGTCAGTAAACCATATGTTCACATTAAAGTATCGGCAGTGTATTGAGTCAAAATCGATCGATTTTAATCATGTTTATGAATGTTTTAGCCAAAAAAATAAATTTTATACGTCTACATCGGAAAAGTGCGCTTATTATATACCAGTCTCGAGACTAAAAATCAGTCTCACCAACTCCGGTTAACTTGAACAGCCGATGGAATTGATCAATTGATTAATTGTTTTTCAAGAATTGATCAATCACAATTGATCAATTGTTTTTCAAGAATTGATCAATGACAATTGATTAATTGTTTTTCAAGAATCGATTAATCACAGTTGATCAATTAGCAAGTTAAATTAAATGTTGGTAAGATCCAAATTCTTTGATTCGTTTAAATGCACTTACAAACACGCATATCCTCTGTACATATAATACAACAATTAAAATTCTGATGCAACGTACAATATACGTTCTCCAAAAAGTTTAGCGATACATCATAACAAAAAGAGCGATGGAGCTTTTTGCAAATAAGTCCGAAATGTCACTTCACTCCATTTCAGACCCACTTCATTTCTCAACAGAGTATTTTTCATTTTAAACAATAATATTCGATTGCTAATCGACTTTATCGAATTTTCTTCGGACCGAAGATGAGATCAGCATCTGGCGCGCCTTTAGGATGATTATATTTTTGTCGCCGTTCTCTGTTCAGATTTACAGTGACTGGTCGCGTACTTTGGTTCATGGTTTCTTGATAATCTTCCTCCTCTTGTCTCTCGGTAATATTCAATGTCAATCTCTTGACGCGTTCCTTTTCTTCTTTCTGTTCCTGTTCGCGATTTCTAAGATTCATGGCCAGCTCGGACGACACCGGTACTGCCAGATTCTTATATTGTTGCTTGTTACCTTTTCTCAGCATCAATACGAAATCCACCGTGCTGTTGTCGCTCGGTCGCTCTTGCAGCTGTTCGTACGTCTTCTTTGTACTTTTCACGTGCAATGGAACGGAGATGTCGACCTGTTGCGGTTTCACCGAATCCCGCATACGGTCCTGTATATTATCAGACACCATTTTGTCCAATGCTGAAAGAAAATCGTCGTCTTCCGGGCAGCTCAAACGTCGCGGCTTGGACGGTAAGGCTGCGTTTAGTTCTTCGTTTACATCAATGATTACTTCAGTGCCACCTTCCGCGGACAGACTCTGTGATCGATCACCTTGAGTATTTTCTTGAGTACCCATGGCATCATCTCGCTCCGCGTCAGCTGTCCATTCTTCCTCCGACTGTGCCTCCGAACAATCTTCCGGTTCCTCAAAATGCAGATCGGCTATGCCCTTCGCATCTCCGCTACCGTTTCCAGTTACTGCCGCTTCTTCGTCACCTTCCATAATAACACTCATGTCGTTCTCGCCTTCAGTGTCGTCAACGGGATAACCCAAGCCGGGATACAAAACATTCCGCAATTCTTCTATGGCGCATTGCGCCTCTTTGTAGCTCTGAAACAGTTGCATCTTAGGACGCAGCATTGTCAATGTGTCGCGGTACATGTAGTCTATATCGAAAGGAAATGGATTCTCAGTTGTCCAGAACGAATCCGTGTACTTGAACCAGAAGTAACTCTGGAAGAACACTAAGAAGTAATCGAGCTTCTTTTTACTGGAACCACCACTGAAATATTGACCACATGTTTCCAACAGAGTGCACACCAAGCGTATACGAAATAGATGATCAGATGGATCGAGCGTGCTCGGTATGGAATGGTCCATGGTGACTCCGAAAGTGATTAAAAGATATAACGTTCGGAATATGTCACCGCTCTCGACCATTCGGTAATTATATAGCTCGCCCAAATATTTAACCATAGCAATGCGTCGTTGGTTAAACTTGGGCAAATTGATCTCCATGCATAGTCGAATATCTTCGAGTACGCCATCAACCACTTGAGGCCCTATGGTCTCGTAATGGGCCACTAAGCCAGCTAGTAAGCTTCCCATGCAGCGAATATTGGGATACTTTACGTTGTAGGCAGCAGTGAGGCATTTTATGGCATACGATGACACGCTTTCATCTTCCCAGTCGAGTTTGCGCATCAACTTGAGCACTTTGTCAGTATTCGTCTTAGAAAGGTCCTGATACAACAGTTTCCTGATAAATTCGTGCATCGGCGGTCTATCTTTTTTCGCAACGCCGATAGTCGATTCGGGTGGATTCACGAAGTAATAAGCGTTTTCAATAATGGTAACGTAGCGCGAGTCGAGCGCGGTGACCGCTTTTTTGCGCATCATTTGCTCTAGATAGACTTTGGTTCTCTGATGCGAGTCCGGCGAGCAAAACAGATATCGGCCGCAGATTTCTAGCAAGTTGCAGGTCATTTCAATGTGATGATGAGTAAAATCTTGTAGCAGCACTTTGAGGCAATAGAGCGCCTCTATTTTTGAATATAGCTTGAACTTGACAAGTTCGCCAATATAGCGGACGACTTTAATTTTCGACTCGATGTTGATTTGATCTTTCTTGCGTACGTGATATTTGAAATCTTGCTTCAGCATCTGACACAGATCGTTACCGATCTCGGGCATCACCGGATAAAGGATAGCCGCTAAACGAGAATAGAAAGGTAACAAATCTTGACGGATTCTGGAGACGCCAAAAAGTGCTTTCACCAGTTTCTTCTTATTGTACTTCGTGTTGAGATTCATCAGGAAATTGATCGCGGCGTTGTCGATCATTCCGCGATTCACACAGTTCGGCAATTGTGTCAGAAAAGCATCGAGCATTATTTTATTACTTGTGTTAGTTACCTGCGGCTCTTCTACCTCTGGTTCTGGTTCTTCAACTTTCTCAGTCTCCTCCAGCTCGTCCAAAATAATTTCTTCGTCGAGAGCGTCTTCTGTTAAGGGAGTGTCCTTGAATGTGTCTTTTGCGGTCTCTTTCAAATACGATCCTGGTAGAAAAACCCTTAAATCTGGAAAATCTTCATAGAAGAGTCTTGTTTCTTCGTCACCCCACATATCCTCCAATAAACTGTTATCTTCTCCTTCATTAATCATCTTCAGTGACTCTTCCGCTTCTGCCTTTGTCTCATTATCTACTGGAAGCTCGGGCATTGGTTCATCTAGTGTGTCGGAAAAGCTTTGCACGCTGCTCAGCAAACGCTCGTAAGACACTTGAAGAGCCTCCAGTTTTTCCTTCCTCTCCGAACTCAATTCACCTCTAGTTTGCAATATTTTGCGATTTTGCTTCTCGAATGCCTGCAATTCTTTGTGCTCTTTAAGCATGTGCTTGCATAAAGAGTTGTAATATTCTCTCAGCAATAGTCTGACATTTTGTTGCTTGTCTGGCGACAATAGCTTGCTCTTGGGAATCGAAACATTCAATTTTTCTGACAATTCTCTTACTTTTCTGGGCACGAGACCGGCATAATCTTCACCGCAGTGTCGACAAAAGCTCAATATTATGCTGGCATTGTTGTGCTCCTCTTTGTCCATATTGATTAATACTGTTAATATTGAACCAAGCAGTGGCAAACCTTGCTTGTGTGTAAATATCCCTGCATTCACCAATTCTGCATAAAATCGAAGATCAACTCGCAATTTACTGGGATTTGCGATTTTATCACCAATCTTAAAAGACAATATTCTCTGCCAATTTTCAAAGAAATGAGTAGAAAATTCAGCATATGTCTGATGGAGAAAACTGCATATTCGAATGGCAGGCCCAACATCAGTCATTTTTATTTTGGCATCTACCAGAGCAGAAGCAACTTCACTTATGTATTTGGTTAAGTTTAAATTTGTCATGTCTTTTAGAACAGTGTCAAGTTGAGTTACGCTGAAATTCTTTAGCTTTTTAACAAAAGTAGTGTTTCTTTTGAGACTTGAATCAAGTTTGCTAAATGACGCTTCTGGTGGTCTTATAGGATTTAAATTAGCTGCACGAATGTCTTCCTTTGTTTTGATTCTTTGTTCCGTTTCTCTTACATATTCCATCAAATATTGTTTGTCTTCTTCTGAAACGGCATTTGGATCTTCAACACTCTCCGCTTTCTCAGCTACCGCAGCTTCATTTGTAACCTCAGACATTGTAAAACAATCTGCAATGTAACAAAATCACATATCGTTTAAGGTACTGTAATTGAATTTACATTTTAACTTATTAAAACCATGCAATTCTGTAGTTAAATTCATAAAATAATTCAAATATTGTAGCAAATAATAGTCACATGGTCACAAGTATCCGCAGACATAGTTACTATAATTTGACATCTATGAACATACAATGCAACATATACGACTTATTTTCATATTTATGTAGAATATATTATAAAACCGTAGATCTAAATACCTACCAAAGCGATTAATTGGCACTCGTGTATATCTTTTACTCTTATGCGTGTATTTATTATTTTGTCGAATTATATTCAACAAGGTTATGATCACGGCAGACGACAATTTCTTCTTCTTTGCTACTTTAGCTGCTATAGCAACTTGCCTCCATGGACATATAAGAAGTAGACTGCGCGTTCCCTAATTTCTCAGAGAAGGAATGGTCAAACCTCAGACAAGGATAGATGCTTTCACTCGTGTCTCTATTCTTGTTTAGTGACGCGGTGATTGGCGGACAAGGAAAGTAGTAACAGAGAGAAGCCTGAGAGCGGCCAGGTTTATAAGAGAATGTGTAATCACTTTTCGCCCCGTAAACTAGCGCATGTTCACGGGTGGTGCACATTAGAACTACGCAGCCATGTCCACGAGCGACATGTCGGTGCGCTATGTCCACAGCGTGCGGTTCTATTCTGTGCTATGTGCACGAGTTTAAGGGGATCCTAAACTGACGGTCGAACTCCGTCAATGTACCGACTGAGTTTACAGCTTTTGGCGTCAGATTGTAGTAATATTTGCTTAATATAAAAAGTTATGCAGTTTGTACGTAGAAAACCAACTGCGTCCCGTTTTCGGAACA